ATTATTATTATTATTATTATTATTATTATTATTATTATTATTATTATTATTATTAAATTAAATATATATGCTGCCTGACTCCCAGTGACTTTGGATGGTTTACAAATGATTTAAAACATGAAAAACTTGACAATGAGAACCACAAAGGGTACAGATGGCAGAATAACAAACCAGGTAGAAACAAAAGAAAATAACCTAAGTTAACAGGAAGCTTCAGTCATCTTCACCAAAGGCCTAGGCCAAGAGCCAGGTCTTCAGAGCCCTTCAAATCAGCAGGGTGGGGGCTGTTTGGATCTTGGGGAAACCTTATTCAAGAGGGCAGGCGCTGCAACAGAGAAGGCATGCTCCCGGGGTACTGATAGATGGCATTGCTTAACTGAAAGAACCTGGAGCACGCCAACTCTGCCAGATCGAATTGGCCAGAAAGTTACTGTGAAAGGTAGTTCAGCACCTTCCTTGTTTTGTCCCTCAGCGTACAACTTTCAAGCCTCTCTTGCAGTTCTAGTAGACACCTAGAACCCCATTTAACCTGCATTCCGACCAAAAGCATAAACATGTGACCAGAGCCCTTTCAGGATGTTGTTAATTGGAAAGATGTCAATTATATTCTCATGGATTAAATGCAACTACTCTAATGATTAGATATGAGCCTAACAAGTGAGTTATCCTCAATGAAATGATTAGTACTGGAAGAATCTAATACAAATGTCTGTCTTTACAGAAGGTAACTAAGGGGACTTATTGTGCAGTTAGAAATAGGTAAATTAATTCATTTTCCTATCCTTAGGGTTAGGACAAATTGCAGTATAAAAGATAGATGTAACAAATATAACAGATACATGAATAATAAAATATGCATAATATGAGTAATATCTGCACAGCTTCATCAATATAAATTCCTTACTTAGGGTTTTGCCTGCAGGGCAAAGTTTATTCATGATCCTCTCCATATTCTCTTGAAATATATTATTGATTAAGACCTCAGAAGCTGGAATTTGGAAGAATTTTTTCTGGAAGAAACAAGAAAAATAATGTAGATATTATTAAATTGCCCGTTTTTTCCCCACAATGATTTCATTTTGGAATGAGAACTGAAAGTAACAAAATAGACATTAATTTAATGTTTTAATAAAGACCTTTTATTAAAGAAATCGTTTATTTACAAAAGCGTCCCAGTGCTTTAAGGATACATTTAAAATAAAAAAAAATATCCAGAAGGATGTTCCAGAAGTATAAGAAACAAGAAAAATAATGTAGATATTATTAAATTGCCCGTTTTTTCCCCACAATGATTTCATTTTGGAATGAGAACTGAAAGTAACAAAATAGACATTAATTTAATGTTTTAATAAAGACCTTTTATTAAAGAAATCGTTTATTTACAAAAGCGTCCCAGTGCTTTAAGGATACATTTAAAATAGAAAAAAATATCCAGAAGGATGTTCCAGAAGTATTGCAAAATAAGTAAAAAGGCTGATGCCAACTCCAATGCACGTACCCTTCCTGCCATATATACAAAGGCATTTGGATATGATTATTTTTCAACCAATTGTATATGAATTCACCAATACTTTTTAAAATTACTATATAGTCCTTGCTATGCTCACTTTGCTATGAAAATAGCTTTGGCCAAATATAAGTTTAGATTTAATCTAATTAAGTCAAGAGTACAATAATCTACTCTCTTACATGGTCCAGGAGAAATACGTCCAATGTTCCTGTTCCATCATCCAATGTAAACTTCATCACAAAGACGTATTGCAGAGGTACAATTCCTAACACTAAACAGAAGCAGAGCGAAAACTCTATTTAAAATTACTCAAGGCAAGAATAGCAGTAATAATAGTAGTATTTATTAATTAAATCTTAATTATTTTTAAAAGGTCCCATGCAATCTAGGGCTATTGGTTGAAATTTCCTATAGAAAGGCTGAACAAGATCTCAGCTACAAGGCTCTTGTGGACAAACACACACACGTACACTGGGTGTCTAGAATACAAACATAGCATAACTGATCTCAATATTTCTGCTTGCCCACTGAAACAGAGCTAACTCATTCCTTTACCAAACATGATCAATGCTGCAGTGAAAGGTGATCAAAAGCCATTAGAAGGTACCTAACATAGTGATTTTGAATTTGGTGTAAGGTTAAAGAAATACTTCAATAGCTTTTTTAATTAGGCATATTAAACCTTGTTGCCATTGTTGTAGAATCATTTTGTTACCCAGCATTATTCCTAATCAAGGCAGTGGTGAAAATGCTATATATTCTTCAGAACAAGAAAGACTTCCTGCAGAAATCCCCTGCAAGATATATTCTATTAAAAATAATTATTTTGCATGACCAATTCCTATATTGCAGTTGAATTTCCTATATATTGGAGTGGGGAAGTTAGATAAAAATACACCACTAAATAATCTTCAATGCATAGGCTATTTTTAAATCCCCTTCTTAAAGGGCTGATTTCATCTTGGGGTGGCTTTATGCATAGAAATAGGTGCAGGATATCTCAGAGAATTCCCTTCTTTTGTCAGCCCTTCAAGACAGTCCAGACCAGGAAACAAAAGTTCTAATACTACTTTTATTATAATATTACAGTAAAAGAATCTTGCAAGTCTGAATGCACTTCTCCTGTCCTTGCCTTTATGTTCAAGAGAACTAGGAGGGTCAAGTCTGAGACGCTTTCTCAAATTACATTCCTGCTTTGGATTTATATTTCTCTTATCTGACCATTGTCTTAGTTGCAGCTCTTCTTTCTGTTTCTTGGGGTTATTCTCACAGCCCATTACAGCTCCATTTCTACCCTTGATTTTGAAAATAAGATAAAGTAGCACACTACCAAATTTTTCCCATTTTGTTGTAATTACCAGTGGGATTATAAAGTGCTGGGTCCTGCATATCAGTTGTGGGTCAGCCATGGCAGTCTTATTGTTAATTGTGGAAGAAAGAGGAAATGAAAAGAAAAAAAGAAAAAAAAAACCCTACTTCTATGGAAAAGTAAATTTCTGAGATTACTCATCCAATAAATAACTGCATCAACAGACTTTCATGGACAATGAATATTGCCTAAGGAAGTAAGATTACTCATCTTTGCTTACATTTCTACTTCACTTTTATTGTCTATGCAAAAATTACAAATGATAGCAGAAAAACTGACAGATGCAAACTTGTAATACATTCCTTGCCAGGACACAATGCCTACAAGTGATAAAAGCAAATGCATAGTTAGGCAAGGGTTGTTTTGTTGGTTAAAGCTCACACTTGTTGAGGTATCTGGAAGGGTCAGTATTCTGTGCTATCATTTCTGCATCCACATTTCCACCCTTTGGGATTTAAAATCTTTCCATCAGCAATGTAATCAAGAATAACTATTTCTGCTTTCCAGAATGGAAGGTGTGATATATGTTGCACAAAACATGGCATTTTAAAGTCTAGCAAGTATACTGTGCACTGGAATATAATGCACAAAAGCTTGTGCTATAAAGACTTAGCCTATAAGCTTTCACAAGGCTATTCACTGATTTTGATGGAATAATGTAATTATTTGCAAATCACTAACTCTGCTTTGGGTTATACCTATTTTCTATTTCTCTCTGGACTACATATGCCTCATTTAAATAATACTGGAATAAACATTTAGGAAGATAAAAGGCTGCATGTTTGTATTTTCTGTCCTATGTATGAAGTACTTTATTTATTCCTATTGTATTATTTAGTTTAGCTAAAGATGTCTTCTCCTTTTTTCACCTGTGGATGTTCTATATGTTCAACATGACCACCTTATGGAATTTATCATATAATTCATCTTATGAGCAAGACAGATTTAGGTACTTTCTTCCACATTTAAATAATTTGGCTACTTTAAGTTAAGTGCTGAACGAAAGTACAATGTTATCGAATAGCAGAAGAACGTCACATCACCTTGTGCTATAGAAGTGTGTTCCCATGACGGATTTTCCTGTGCAGCAAGACAGCTCAGACTTGCTAAGACCTTAGGATCTGAACAGTGCTTGCACCTAGCATTTGGAACAAAATACTGGTTAAAAGAGTCATCTTAAATCATAGAGATTCATCTGGTCTCAACATCATAGTAGTTGATAGGAAATTTCCTGCTGCTTTATAGATTTTTTTTTTTTTTAACAAAGTACTGGAAACTAATCTTTAATGTCTTTTATAAATCATTGTCCACAAAAATAAATCATTTGGCCACACAACTTGAAGGAACATGTAGAGAATTGGACGCCAGGTATTCCTAAAAAATCCATTTGCTAATCACTAGTTTTATTGCTTAATTATAAAACTGTATTAAGGTAATAACTCTTGTACTATACCATGTAAAAATGTGATAGAAAGGATAAAGAAATGATTCTTCCCATATATTCTGATATGTTCCTTATGATCATCTTCAGAGGATCTTCCAGGTGCCTCATGTTGAGGTGCAAAGTTGCTAGCTGGCTGTGGGCCTTTTCTGTCAAAGCCCCTCCCACTTTGAAATGCCCTCCCCAGCAAGATATATATTTTTATTTTATTTTATTTTATTTTATTTTAATTTTATGCTTTCGGATCAGTGTTGACTCCTGGTGATTGCCTGGACTAGTCCCTATAGTTTTCCTGGCAAGGTTTTTTGGAAGTGGTTTGCCATTGTTTCCTTCTTCCTAGGGCTAAGAGGGAGTGACTGGCCCGGGGTCACCCAGCTGGCTTTGTGCCTAAGGCAGGACAAGAATTCACAGTCTTCCGGTTTCTAGCTTGATGCCATAACCACTACACCATGGCTCTCAGATATATCTGGCACCAACCTTATTGTCTTTTCAGCACCAGGCAAAGACACTTGTACTCTTCCAGGCCTTTTAATGTATTAATTCTGCTGTGATTTTTAAACTTTTTGTTGCTTTTACTTTCTGTTACTGTGTTAATGTTTGTCTTGCTGATTTTATTTTGTATTTTTTGTACTGTATGTTTATAAATGCGGTTAATGAAATTTATTAATTGTTTACATCTATTACTTGTAATTATAATTTTTAATTGTAAACTACTGGGGTCATTTTTAATGGGAAACAGTAAAAAAAAAAAAAAAGGAAAAATACATTACATACATACATACAGGTTGGTCCCTTTACCTGTGTTCCAAAGAGATACCGATAAGGACCAGCACTGTGCAAAGCATGGGAACAGTGGAGTAGCTATGCCACTTGTAAGACTTGGCCACTTGATTTGGAAGTGGCTGCCAGCTCACTCCACAGGAAACCACTCTGACAGGCCCATATATGTAGGCACAGTTGGCAGTAGTTTCCAAAGCAGCCACACAACCCTTGTGAATTATATTGACGCTTTAACAAATCTGTTGAAAGCTTTGCACAGTTCTATGGCCATACTACCTTGAAACGTCCGATCTTGTGTGATCTTAGAAGGTAAGGAGGGTCAGACCTGGTTAGCACTTGGATGGGAGACCGCCTGGCAATACTGGGTGCTGTAGGGAGAGCCACTTTGGTGTAGTGGTTAAGGCACCAGGCTAGAAACGGGGAGACCATGAGTTCTTGTCCTGCCTTAGACACAAAGCCAGCTGGGTGACCTTGAGCCAGTCACTCTCTCTCAGTCTTAGGAAGGAGGCAACGGCAAATCACTTCCAAAAAACCCTGCCAAAAAAACTGCAGAGACTAGTCCAGGCGGTCGCCAGGAGTCAGCAGTGACTTGAAGCATGAATAAATCTTTCAGACTAACCTTACCTCATGTTTTAATAGAATAATTTTCTCAGTAGATTGCTAGAATGCTGGGATCAATATATCTTGATTTTAGCAAAGTAAAGCCACCCATGATATTCATATTTAGGAAAGACAACATTATTGAAAAGAAACAAATATATAATACAGTGGTAAAGACTAGATTGGGTTAGGGATACTGACTAGTGTACACTCAGTGAATGACACTGGGACAGTCAATTCCTCTTGAAAGTCTACCAACCTGGTGGAGATAAAATTGATTTGACTACCATGAGGATCACACTAAGCCACTTGGAAAAACTATAGCCCCAAATGGGTAAATCACTGTTTTTATTTTTTTTAATGTTTTCCTAAATTATTATATAACCTTTTCTATGGCTAACATAAATTGGATGACAAAACTGTAGTAGGTGGAACACCATGATGCATACAGTTTAAGCTATAGTTTTTGATTTGCTCATTATGTGTCATCAAATCATTGTCAACTCTTAGTGACCACACAGATAGATTTTCTCCATGATTGATTTGTTCAACTACAGGATAAATTAAACTGAACCACATAGCCTAAGCTATTTGTTATAGTTAACAATTTGCTCAATTTATTCTTAATATAACTTCCCAAAGATTTTGTACTTAAAAGATCAGAGGTTGAACCATCAGCATTTGAATAAGGAACAAAGCTGCATATGCATGAACATATTAATTTACACTTATGTTTGCATTTACCCATAATACTGCATGTTTCCTTGCCAAAAATATGGAACTGAAAGATCCAATAGCACAAGACAGTCTTCTTTGGATGTCACTGGTATAATTCCTTTAAATGTTTTAGAGAACTTCAAGATTTCATTCAGAGTCCCTCCTATTAAAAAAAAAAAATGAAAGAAAATCTTGATTATTTAAATAAAAGTATTGTATTAGCTAGACTATCACATTAATCCCTGACCATCAATGCATGTGTAGTTTGTGGAAACAAACGTATATTTCACGTGATAAGTAGAAAATAAGGCCAGATATGCAAGCATTTCATAGTTAAAAGTATTGTCAAATGTTAAAATATAGGTCGGCTTTTTAGAACTCAATTCAGATTATTGTTTTGATTTTTTTTTAATAAAAAATCTCAGCATACCATGCAAAATGTTCCTAACCATAACCATCACCAATTATCCTCCACTATGGAATAATTCAAAGCTTCCATATATTGGAAAAGGAAACTGCACTACATGCAATTGACTTAAACCAACAAATTCCAAATGATTTCTCCCAGAAGTTCATGAAATATGGAACACTGTAGGAACTGAATGAGAATGGCTATAGGTGATATGTTCTTGCTGAGAATTCTGGGAATTAATTAATATGGCTGGAGAGTGTCCAGCCTGGGGATGGCTGCATTAGAAATTCCAGCAGAACTCAAATGGGCATATTCCCCTGTCTAGCTTCCAGTATATAATAATGTGTCCCCATCAAATTCTGTTTAGATCACAACACACTTGAATTTTCCACAAATGTTAGTCACTTCTGTTAATGCTAAATATGACATATAAAAAGCTGCCATGAACGACACATTTCAGCAGGAAATTCTCTTGCATCAGCATACTTAATGACTGGGAACTTGGATAATTGCCTTTCTTTTTAATGATCATCATCTTATTTATATTTGTTTATTTACTCCAGTTTATATGCTGGAGACTCTGAGCAGATTACAGAGAAACCAATGCCAAATAGGATTATAAACAATAAAAAACCAAATGCAAAAGCAACTAAATGCCATCCAAGCCAATACATCTACGTCTCAGAGGTGGTATGACCTTCCAGACTGTCCCTAAATGCCCTCCAGAAGTGCCAGGTTTTATATGCTTCTATAAAAAAGAAATATATTGCAAGACCTTTCCTTTTAAGTATGAATACAATTGTATCTATGGGAAAATACTGACATCCAGAGGATGGTTAAGTTAAAAGTATGCTTGCAGTAAGATAGGCATTCCATCCCACATTTTAACCAGCTAGAAGACTTTTTTGAAAAGAGGAGAAAATGCAGATTCTAATTAAAAATTATATATAAAATAGATTGATACAACTGATATTATATATAATTATATATAATATAGATATAACTAAAAATATTTTAAAAGTTTCTGATTGTATTTGCGATATGGTGAATCCCTCCTAAGATCCTTATTCTTCTTGTTATGGTTAATCTTCCTACTCCTGGAGGAACAGAAAGAACTACATCTGAGTACATCTTTCATTTTCCTCTTCTTTCTTTTTGTATTTTAATCTTATTTACAGCACAAATAATTTTACAGGAAGATGTGAAAGGATGGCTTCTGGAGGAAGAAATGGAGGACTGAAGATGCCTCCATAAAAAGTGAAGCTGACGACCATGGTGGAATGAAGAGCCTCTTCAATAACTCCCCTTCAGACAAGGAGAGAACTTAAGATTTTAAAAACTGGACACTAGAGGAAACTAAAGATTACAATTAAAGGGGAAGAACACATCAACTGGACCTACAATTACAGAATGAACCATTGGACATACTGAAGGATATTTTGAACAATGGACTCAGAAATTAATTTTAACAGTGTCAGCAGAGACATCTGCCTCTATGAAGAGACTATGTCTACCAGATGCTATGGAAAGGAACAAGTTCTACTTAAAAGATCAAGACTGAGTTGAAAGTGGATTTACAAATGACAGGCTACAAGAAGACATGGAAAAAGATGTTACACTGGACATACAAAAAATACTGGCTGATACCTTAATAATTAAAAGGGATATACAAAGAATAAACCAAGAGAGTGACCTGGATAATTTTCCTATATTGGAAAAAAGAGGCTTGTTAAAGTTTTGAAGAATCTTGTGAGAAAGGACAAAGAAAAACTGAAAAGAAATAATGTTCTATGACATTTTTGAATGGACTAAAGATTAAGTTTGTTAGAAGTAAAAGGAAGGAATATAGTTGATTTATTTGATCAAGGGTAAAACAGATACATTGTTACCTTTGGTAACCCTTAGTGGACTTTTGCTGACACCAGGACTGGAATGACAATGTTTTATGGATTTGTTTATATATAAGAGATGGGGTATGGGAAGAAGAGATCATTTGTTGTATTTTAAGAGGAGGTGATAAGTTACTAAAATTGTTTTTATTTGCTGTGATGAAGGTGAGAAGTCACTCTTTATATATTTATTTTATTTTTCTTTACTACATTCTTACTTTTCTTTTTTATTTCTTTTTCTATTTTTTTTCTTTTCTGCACCTTTTACTCTTTCCTTTTATTCTTTTTTTAGTTTGTATTTTCACTGTTGCAGTTATAATCTTTAGTAAAATTACTATTAAAAAAGGGAGATGTGAAAGGATATACAGGTAGTCCTCATTTAGCAACAGCCTCGTTTAGCAACTGTTCACAGTTACGATGGTGACGAAAAAGTAACTTTGTGACCATTCCTCGCATTTACAACTTTCGAAGGTCTGTAAAGCTAAGGAAAGTTGAAGTAAGATCATAAGCACAGTCATGGTTTCACTTAGTGACCACTTCCCTTAACAACCAAGTTGCTGGTCCCAATTGTAGTCACTAAACAAGGTCTACATGTATTGGATAGATTGCAAATACACTGAATTGTAGTTTTAATGAACCATAGGGGAGGAAGGGGATATCCATTATTCCCAAATCTCTGTTAAATATGAAAATACATAATTGCAGCTATTTATATAATTTGCATAATATGATATGCAATCAAAACAAGGCATTGAGTATATACACATTATTTCTATCATTAGATAATGCAAATGATATAAATTATCATGTATGTAATAAAATTAACATAAATTAATCTGCCTCATCTACACTACTTCGGATGCAATGGACTTGTTGGTTATTTTGAGTGTATGTCCACATAGAATATGTCCATTGCATCTGAAATCTGCTAAATAGGGATCCATTATATCAATGTTTCACTATACATCATTAATTTTGGACACAGTTGAAGATGAGAGTTTCTTAAAAATGAGAGAAAGAGACACAGAATAAGGACATAAGCCGATAAGCTTATAGATCTGGCATATTCTATTTTCCATATTTTCAAGGACCTATATAAAGTTTATATCCCAAAAACAACATGGAAAAAAAGATGGGCTCCTGTGTGCTCATGTACTGAAAACTAAAAATGTGTGTGTGTGTGTGTGTTTGTGTATCTATATCTATATATATCTAATGTATAGAACAATTATCTTGTTAAATTTTGTTGGCTTGTTAGAAGTATATGAGGGTAACAACTGACACACACAAATGTTTTTAGGATTAGAGACTATTACAATGACCAATCAAATATACAGAGTTAATTAACTAACCTTCTAGGAAAACTAAACTGTCCTCTGGGTTTTGAAGTAGCTCGTTGTGTTCCACAAAATGAACAGCTACACGCCGCTGTCCCTGATTTTCAGTATCCCACACAACAGATTTGCAGAACAATATACTTTGCAAGTCTGGATCTGAACATGTAGCTGAAGCTTCTCGTAAAACTGAATCAAGTTCAGTCCCATCTGGAACTTCTTGCCTGAAACAATTATAGCTCCAGGTAAACACCAAAAACCTCCTCAAAACGATTCTCCAAGAAATACAATATGGAAAAACTGTAAATCAGATAACTCAACATTTCCACGTGCATGTTGGACAGGCTGCAGCATTTTAAGGCCTTGATGTGTTACCTTGTACCAAGCAGTATAAAACATAAAAAAGACTAACAGGACTAAACCGCCATAAAGCATACAAGGGTAGTTAAAAGAGAAAAGGCTTCAGACCCACCTAATGTTTGAGACAGTATATTGATACAAGTAGACTGGTAACATCATGCTGGACAAAGAGTTACACAACACTATTTCTACCCATAAGACATCCCCTGATATCTGATAGGGCCATTGCACAGCTGGATTCCTGCCTGGCCATATCACTGCCCTTACACAGCTCCCAGAAACCCTATAAGTATTAGCCACTTCCTTCATCTGGTGGGTTTTCTGAATAGGGATCTGTACAGCTGCTTAACTTGTGGCTGCCATTTCATTTGCCCCCAAATGAAAAGAGAAGAACACATTTAAGTACTTATAGACTTCACCTATCGGATTGTTGAATCTGCAAATACCATCCCTCAGTGATTTTCACAAATGTGTGTATCTGTGAATTTTTAAACAGAAGAATGTTAAAGGTATATTGGCACATATTTAAAGGTAATGTCTCCTTCAAGCAGAACTCAACTCTTCATGACTTCCCTGGATACATCCACGCAGTTTTCTTGGGGACGGTATGATTTTGCAAACAACTAAAGACCTGGATTTTTTTTTATACTTCCCAGTCTAGCCTGAGGTCCTGGTATTCTCTAGTATTATCACATTCAAGTTTTAACTAGGCCTAATCTTCTTAGCTTTTGAGGCTAGACCAGGTCAGCCAGATGCACCTAGAAGTTAGCAATCCCTGGCTAATCTCAAAAAATAAGATGAATCTGGCCAGGTTACTGCCTGGAAGACAGACAGCCTGGACATTTCAGGATTGTAAGGTAGATGAGAAAGTCAAAAAGCATCTAGGAAAAAGGCAGTGGCAAACCTCTTCTCTATCATTCGCTTGATTTTACTGTGTATGTTTTTATTCAAATTGTGCCTTTTAATGTGTGCTTTTATTGTAAACCACCAAGAAAGCTTTGGCTATCGGGTAGTTTAAAATTTTTAATAAATAAATAAATAGATTAAAAATTGAATATAGAATATGAAAATAAAGGCCTAATCTTATTGTATGTTCTAAGTTGCAGGGCATTAAACATATAATTTTACTTCACCCTGTAAACAATAACTCCAAAGGCACCAGCAACTTATATCTGTACCAATATCCAGCCACTTGGACACCTACAATGAATTGCACTGGGGGCAATGAAGTTTAACAGACTGATGGAGTTTCTTAGGTTCGAATTTAAGCATCTTAGCTCTGATGCGATAGTGCTGGGGAATCTTGCTCATTCTGATAGTATTCAGCGTAGTTACATCAAAATGCTGGTGATCCGTTAATACTATAAAACAATGAAACATAAAAAGCATTTGGATTAACATGAACAAATACAAGCACGAAGGACATTATCAGTGATCCATTAAGCAACATTTGATAATTTGTCCTATTTTCCCCAATTTCTCCTTTATTCAATAGCATTTAAATAGCATATTAATTAGTATTTTAAACATTTACGTTTATATTTTGCTCTTTACCTATATAGGCCACTTAAAAGTATGTGCTCTCTTCAACTAGTGGTTAACGTACAATAATAACAACATCTTGGATTACAGGTAGATAAACTTATTTCCAGTCTATTACACATTCACATGTGTTCATAAATTCTCCTATTTAATTTCTGCACTCTTCTGCTTCTTTTAATATATGGATATACCCCACATTTAAATAAACATTTATATTTTCTCCTAAAATATGCATGTGCATTGTTTCTTATATTAGCAGAGTGTCACCGCATCCAAGAATTTTGAAAACTGGTGGATAACTAGGCTTTGTTTCACAATTTTGTTGGTGGAGCAGATCAAGTTTACATTAAGATTTGCAACACATCAAATTATTCAAACATTACGAGCTTTTTTTCTATTTTATTTTTTAAAAATTCAAACGTTATGAGCTTGAATAAAATGCTTTCCTAGCCAAGCAGAAAAGTATTTCTGCTCTTCTAAGGCTCTCCCCCCATTTTCTCCCTTATTATAACACTTCCTGCTGATACATTCCATGTTTTTTTTTAAATATCCCAGAGCCACAGGGAAGAATGGGCAGGAAATCCTATTATAAGAGAAGTGCTCCTCTGAATCCAAAATATGCAGAAAACCAAATGTGAAATTCCTACCTGTAACAGACAACTGCTGACATCTTTCTACACAGGATCTTACTTGGAAAAAAGGAAAGGAGAAATTCATTTTCTTTTTTCCACCACTGTTTTACATGAACAACAACAAAGAAAGAGAAGTATAACACACAGAGATGGAAATGTACTGCAGTAAGGTAACAGAATTCTATTCTAATTAATAATACACATATTATTACTGATCCTGCAGATCTCTTTTCAGATTTGTTTAGCAGCACTGCGTATGCGGAACACCTATTCCAACTTACAGAGAATGTAATGCAGTGTGAAATAAGTGATTCTAAGTTTAAAATTCTACTAATGAAGAGCTTTGCATACTTTCTTGGAATTCTTTTTTTTATTTTTAAGATAGCAGTACTACATATAAATTCAGAATTCATTTAGTCCTTCATATTAATGTACCTATTCATTACATTTATTCTGCTGGGAATAAACTTACAGCACAGTACAGTTCTTACCAAAATGTACTAGCTTTTCTTAATACTTTTACCATGCATTGTGGAAAGAAATAGTAGTGGGTTTAACCACATTACAAAGATATGGATCTGTGATCTTCCAGATGTTGAACTATATTTTTCAGTTATCTTTTACACTGCTGAACATGCTGGCTAGCACTACTAGAAACTCTTGCTCAGGAAAATTTTGAAGGCACAGGCTTCTCATTCTTGCCCTATAAATATATGAAAATGATCTATTTTAATTTTTAAAAACTTACATAAACTATAAGAATTTTCAAGCTCTGGAGAAGTTCTTTCTGAACCCTCACTTTCTGTCAAGTCTATAGTGTCCATAAATCTGAAAATGAAAGAAAAAAAAATGAAATATTTTAAGTAAATAAAGTTTAGCAGATTATTAAAAAAGGAGATTTCAGTTAATCCCAGGGAATGTCATTGCCTGATGATAAGTATAACAACACTTTAATAATAGCAAATGTTGATTGTGCCATAACATTTTTCACATCTCTAAATTTACATGCTATTGTTTCCAGAATGCTAGGCTCAGATCTAAAATATTAAAATACAAGGTATTTTGGAAGTGTGATGTTGTATGAAAATCAATACAATATCGTTTTCACATGTGTTACTTGGCATCTAACAAATTACTCATTTGGATGTGTTTCCTACTAAGTAAATGTTGATATATACTCTACTATATTAATGCAGCAAGCATGGTGCTTAAATTCAAATATAACTACAGATAGGATACCCTTTTATTACAGGTCAACAAATTACAAATGCGTGCACACACACGCATATACACAAATGGGGGGGGAGAGGGAGAGAGAAGCCTGGGGATACTTAAAAGTAATGTACAACAACTTACAACAGAGTAACTATGCTATAACTGCATTTAACAGTGGCATGAGCAGAAAGTAGCTGTGGACTCATCTTCCTCTTTTATCCTCTACAGCCATTGTGCTAAGCAGAAGCCCACCCCAGAGTGGGAGAACTTATCTTATTCTACATGCCCACCTCCCAGAAGTTCTGTCCCAGAAACCCACAGTATATCTATCACTGAAAATTCTGGGAGCGGAAAGTCACACAGAAGCATCCAGATTGGAAAAGGCTAGTGTGGGCTACATCACAAGGAGCTGAGGTAGGAGAGCAGAGCCCCAGGCTGAACAGAAGCCAGTAACTTACATTCTTTCAGGCGTGTTCATGGTTGATATTTTGTACAATCACACAAACTAAAATAATAACATCATCTGCAAAGAGATACCTGGATACTGTTATTTTGTTGTATTATCCTGAACTCTGTGTCATTCCAATTCTTGGGCTAGTGATTTGCTTACAGTATGGCATGGTATAGAAGATTCACACCAGAATTCATAAGCCAGTGTAAGAATCCTGGTCTCTGGTCAAAGCACTATGGGATGTTAAATTGAGAATTTTAAGAATTTGGGGTTGGAATTAAAATTGCAAGGCATGATTCTTAAATTGACCAAGGCTGCTCCATTAATGGGGGATGCCAGGCTGAACAAATTAACATGTTTCATTCCCCACTTCCCCCCCCTCCCCAAGCTGACACACTCTTAAATGTTATTTACTCACGACTTTAGTTCTTTGATGTCTGGGTGGTTTTCTGGCAGGACAGCAATCCCACGACCATGCCCAGTGCCTCCATGGAGAAGAAATTGTACAACATCAGAACTTTGGGTTTTGACATGCAAGCTGTACATTGTAATGAACTCTCCAATCTTAAAATACACCAAAAAAAAAAAAAATTACTGGAGTATTGTTATGTATTAAACATGTAAGTATGACAATGGCATTCCATACATAAAAGTATGTCCAAGATATTCTTAAGTATGCATTTAATTCAACATATACAACTTTCCCCCAGCATGAAATCAACTTTCAACAATTCTTAAAATTCAGTGGTAATTTCTAACTTAATCCTAGAATATAAAATAGTGGTGACTGAATATAGATCTGGATGTAATGATAATCCTTCCTCCCTCCCTGAAATTACACTGGTAAAATAAAGACAAACTGATTAACTAGGTAAGTATGTAGAATAGCTGGGTCTGATGCAATTCTGAATACAAAGAAAGCAAATTCTTGGGCTCAAAATTCTTTAGTTCTAAGTGGGTATCTTTTACACAAGACTCCAGTCGGATTTCAGGAAAGTCTCTCAGTCAGTGAACAAACTGAACGTGAAAGAAGGTTGGATATTTCAGCAAGGTAACAATCCAAAACATACCTTCAAATCAACCATGAAGAATTTACAGGAAAGAAAGATAAAGATTTCGAATGGCCTTCACCATCCCAATTTGAATATTATGGAAACAATATGGGGAGACTTCAGATACACAGAGCGTGCAAAGAAACTCAAGAATATTTCTAGGATAAGTTAAAAAAAAAAACCCTTACAAAACAAAAATAGACTGTTAACTGGCTATAAGAAACAGCTGGAAGCTGTTGCTTCTGCCAAAGAAAGTGTTATAAAGTACTGACTGAAAGGGTATCTAAACTTTTGCACGTGCATATTTCTGATTTTTTAAAACTTTTAATCTACAAACAAGTGTACATAAACAGTGAATATGCATTCCAATTTTCAGAAAGATCTCTAACTTTATACCATGTAGAGGTTGTGTCAGCTGCTGTTCACTTATGAAGCATGCAGTATGACTGGGGTGCCTGAACTTTTGCATACAAGTGTAGTTTAGGAAATTAGCAATGCTTCTCAGTAGTGAGATCATAGGAAATGAGTGCACCATTCTTTGCTCTCATTTACTAGAAAAGGTTTGTGTGCACCATCAATCTTTTCCAATGGGTGGCAGCATTGCACACTTTTACCTTTCTAGCTTATGAACAGGAAATTCTAAGGAACAGTCTACACATACTGGTATCAAAATACTTCCATGTTTAAAAATTCATAATTGCTGTGCACAGCCAAAAAGCCATGAAGAGACCGAAACCCTGCACTGGAAATACCTGTAGGAAGTCAAGTGCACTCAGAATGTTCTTAGAACAAGATGGTATAGTCCGGTGCACTTTTTAGCATTAATGCCCTTATCCAGGCTGCTTCTTCAATTACTCCCCCTCCGTACTGCTACTTAATCCTCATCTGGTTGTTCCCTTTGTTAGAGTTTCCTGTCCTGCTGGTAAAGCAGCTGGCTGTGCAGGGGCAAACATATGCCAGAAGCCTCTGAATAAGCTGTGTGACCTTCTGGAGTTCGTAGCAGCTTTAATGCTTTGAGAAGAGATTCCTCCCATTTGCACAAACACACTCATTGATAAGGGGTGAACTGCCCCATATCAATGCTTTGAACCGTCCTATTATCTATCTCTGCTGGGCGTGGATTTCACACTGCTCGCTCCTGAACAACAGAATTTGACACGGTGAGCACAAGAACAGTTCCCACATTTGCACAAGTGGATCAACGTATTAGGATTTGGTTTCTGTTTTCTCATAAAATGCACCAGCAAAAAGGTGAACTCTACCTTCCATAGGTAAAAGAAGCCATTTTTGCTGCATTTTAATCAGTAAGATGACCACATATTTATAAGAATCCCAAGCAAACTGAGGCAGAATGGAAAATAAGGAGCAGATTTTATAGAGAACCCTAACTTTGATTTGTCTCCACTGACCAAGGGCAAGACAATTATCTCTCTCCCTCAGAAAGTGGCACTGAAGAAAACAAATCCTGATTTAACTTCAGTGTTTATTTAGTGAAAATGGCTTAAAACAAAACAACAAGCCTACAAATGTAAATTCTCAAATAACTAGCTCATTTTCCATATGGCAGGTTAGAATGGGAGACATGGTTGGCATGTCTCCCATTCTAATGATTGCACTGCAGTGTGGTTCACATTCAACAGTGCAAGCGAGAATGTGAATGGCTGAAAACAAACATGTAACTTTGTCCAGCTATATTAGACACATACTATAAATTGTATGTCAGAGAACCCTTTTAACTACGTTGATTTATAGATCTCTACCTGACTGTGGCTGATCTTGAAAAGTTAAGCAGGGTTGGACCTGGCTAGTACTTGAACTGGAGACCACCAGGAAGTCAGAAAAGCATTCTAGAATAAGCAAACGGTAAATGCTTCTGGACTGCTGCCAAGAAGACTACATGGACATCAGAAGTTAAACTCAATTCAAAGGACACACCTTTACTTTCATAAACTCCCTTCAAAAATTCTGTATTTCCTTCAGATACATTGTATATTTTCCCACTGTATGTATGGAGAGAATTTTAGACACTTCTGTATCACACAAGTGAGCTTTTGATAGTCAAATCTTTGCTTTTTCCTACTACAGGAAACAACACCATCATCAGCAAATGTATTTTCTATGTAATCTGAAGCGCAGCTAAGAAAAAGTACAAATAATTATTATTCTGGTTAATGGCACATGCTGAAGTCATTATGACTCCATTACCTGGAATGCAACAGTTGTTTTTTAAAAAATCATACTAAAAACTTTGCTACTGAATTTATTCTACCTTAAGGGGTAGACTTGTACTCTAACCACCATTCCAAAATTCCAATGGTTTCTGTAAGAAGCCATTGAAAAAAGTCACCTGGTTTGATCAGTAATACACATAGCAAAATCATGCTGTAGAAATCTCAGGAAAAAAAAAAGAAAATATGAAAAAAAACAGCGTTTGAATGAAGCCATTGAGTTTTATTTGTCTCCCAAATGCCAAGTTTAATATATTAAATGTATTTATTGGAAAGTGACCACAATGCATGCTGTTTTCACTCTGGCAGGTACTAAATTGTCTAACAGAAACTGGTGCCAATCTAATCCAGTGTTTCTCAACCTTGACAACTTTAAGATCTGTGGACTCCAATTCCCAGAATTCCCCAGCCAGCATGGGGAGTTGTCAAGGTTGAGAAATGCTGATCTAACCTCTCAATAGAAAGACATGGTCCATTTTCTTTTTGTAAACATGTTTTTGCTGGAAGAGCCTAAGCCCAAAACACCATACACAACCTTAGTAATAAAAAGAAAAAAGGCACTTTAAAAAGATAACCAGTGGCTCTTCTTTCATTGTGGGAATAACATTTCTGTTCTTTTCAGCTCTCTCTGCTTGTTGGGGTATGGTGGGGAGGGACAGTACTAAGAGATAGTGCTTGGCGGAAAATAACCATTGGTTAAGGTGTTGCTGTAGGATGAAGGTCAAGTTCACCCTCAACCAAGGAAATCCATTGGTGATTCTCAGCCAAGTGCTATCTCTTACTTCAGGCTAACTCACATGAAGTTTATTGTGGGGATAAATTGTGGGGATAAATTGAGGGGAAATCCTAGTGCAAGCTTTTGGAGAAAAAGCAGGATATAAATCTAACCAGATACAGATCATTTAGAATGTTGTTTATGTTGCTGTATGATGAATATAAGGGGAAGCCAGACTCAAAGGAGTATGTACAAACATTTTAGATAATACAGAAGGTTCTTTGTGGACAGCAAATACTTAAAATAACATAATGCAGGAGGTTCCAGAATACTATGCAGTGAAATACAAATTGATCCGTTTAATTTAATTTAAGCCTGTTTTATTGGGCAAAGACGTTGTTTGTTTTTCACTCCATACTTATTAGCAAGATCTATTTATGTCATACCACCCTCAGCCATGCACTTAACAGCAAAGTGGGATTATACTGTAATCCTGAGAATGTAATACCACCAGTATATCCTTATTTAAGAGCTGTTTGCAGTAATACTTTTTATGTTACAAATAGCCTTCCTGGCAGCAAGATGGCACTCTTCAATAAGGAATAAATATTACTGAAACTGTTTTCTTTCTATTTCTAAAAATGCACATTGCAGAACTCCAACAAAAAGTGTACAGATCACAAAATGAAATATTCAGAAATTAATATTTGTGAACAAATCACAAATGAGTTATTTCTTAGGCTTTCATTAGTGACCATATTCATTTTTTTCTAAATATAAAACTTACAAGACAGGCTGCAATTTAATAAAAGTAGTTTATCTGAAGTATAGGAAAGAAATTTAAGACTTCACCTCTTCTCTGTATGTTAATACTTGTACTCCAAAAGCTGGAATAGAGCTCTTTAATTAAGATATCGGTTTTCATAATAAATTAAATTGAATTGGTCTTTATTTTTTCCCTAGGAGATTTGGTTTCTTGGGCTTAATCATGGACCACTGCACAATTTATATACATTCCACTCATTTAATTTAAATAAATGTATACATAGACTGCTGACTTTTAGCAAAAACATAAATGGACAGTTAAAATAAAACTAGCAAAAAATCAAGTTATAACTGGCAAGGAGTTCCTTTACCTTTAGTAGTTTTGCCACCTGCACATGATTGTCAAAAGCTACAACATCCACTGTCAGATGTTTTAATTGACGGATGCGACAGCCATCTCCCTCTAGGTCGTCTTCTCCAATAAGCACGTTCCAAGATGGGAAACGGCATTTTGTGCCATCCCATACCTGCAGTGAAACAAAATTCACTCTTTTTGGAAACAGACAAAATTGTACAAATAATATTCCAGATTAAGATTGATACTACAATAAAGGATGGAAAACCTGGGCCTTCAAGGTGTCATTAAAACTCTAATTTCCCAAAGCTGCTTCTTCAAATACATTATTTATTAGATTTCTCTGAGACAATATTTCTCTATAAAGAAAACTGTGTTGCAGTCTTCCTGAAGAACAATTTAAGTTTCTAAAAGAACAAGGCATAATACTCCTAAAAATGCTAGCGGCAGTATTTTGGATAATAAGTTTGCTTTATTCATCCTCCTGAACATGCAAGAAGGCCATGCAAAATGTTTCAACCATCTAACGAAGTTGCGAGTTTGGAACTTAAAACAAAATTCAAGTTAGGGATAAAATATTCCATTTTTAATGGCTAAAAAACTCAAAATGTTTTGTCCTTTTATCCAATAGTATTCAGAAACAATGAATCAGGACAATATTCTAATTCTAAACTCATTTAAAAAACACACATTTCTTTTTATGCAAACTCCATTACTCCATTAATCATATCTGCTTGATAGTTATGATAAGTTCTGAATCTGAATTCTCCATGCCTTTCTTCAATTTTCTCCTATCTTTGTGGATCAATAAAACAGCATTGGCACAACAGAAGAAATCAGGGGTTTGTTGATAAACATCTATTTTAAGCATAGGCACAAGAAGGTCTCAGTGTATTTTGTACCAACTCGGTTTTTCTAGACCAAAGCAATGTGATTATTTGGAAGAATACCTCAAAATATTTTTCCAGTTTGGAACAAAACAGTCAACTATAAATGGTTTAATGACTGCATTAAATACATTTCTAAAACACACCAAGATTTTAAAGGTTTTAATATACCTGACTAATATTTTCAGAACAGGCATGAGTATTTTCTAAAGAAAGTGATAGTGTTAATGCAGGTCTGGATTTTATTTATTTATTTATTTATTTATTTATTTATTTATTTATTTATTTTATTTATATTTTATTTTATTTTATTTTATTTTATTATTTTTATTTTATTTATTTATTTAATCTTATTTTAGTACATTAATTTATGGCAGTCTCTATCTTCTATACTTAGAAAGATGGTGCAAGAAATAATAAATAATTAGAATAATACAATTAGAATGTCAATCTGAAGATCTGCCAGAATGTAACACCCCTAAAATATGTCCATGCATGTGTGTGAAACATTTTCCTGTTTTCCTTATTAACTATAGGATCCCATAACCAATGTTTCAGATAAATTGCAGATCCAGATAATCAGTGTCCAAATCCAAGATATATCACTACGTATCTGACAGACAAAACACTCAGGCCATCCAGAAAAGGCAACCTACGGCTTCCTGAAAATGAAGCCAAAGAACTAGAATACGGAGAATATTTTTAAGAGGTTAAAATTGTTTACAAACCACTTTGATCATCGTTTTCTATTGAGAAGACTAGTTATAATGGGCTGTATCTCAAAAGAAAAGTTATCTTTGACTTAAGCAGTGTAATTATTCAGTTTATTAACTGAAAATATGATAAAGCTAATGCTTACTGAGGTAAACAAAAAGCAAACTGCTGTTCACACTGTGAATTAAAGACTAGTCATGTTTTGTGGGTTCTTCTTCCCTATTACCTCTTTGAGATAATACTAGTATTCCTTTATTTGCTGCTTGCTCCTGTGGATTTAATTCTTAAAAAAAAAAAAAATTCACAGCAGTTTGCAAACACCTGCCAGCCGCTGCTGCTTTTTCACTCTCCTGCCTAGTTTCACAGATCTCTTTGAATGGCCATTTGTGTATTTCAGGACAGAAAACCATTAACACAAATAGCATAAAAGCTCAGCAGTAAACAGTTTCTTTGTTAATAACAGAATTCCATGGTTCTCCCTGCATTGTAAATGACATTGCATGGCTATAAGAGCACAGTAATTTTTGCTGAAAGTTTTTAAGGGCTTCCTCATGTGCCGAAACTTGTGAGGCTCTCATCTAGCCAACGCTGACCATTCTGTATACATGTCAGAAAGAAGTCTAATGAATGCAGTTAGTCACCTGGATATAAAACTTATTATTATTATGGTTGGTCGCATAGTCAGCCAGATGTTTAGACTGGATTTGGCATTT